ACACACACACACACACACACACACACACTCTCTCTTCACAGACTTGGCCCACATCCTGTCTACACTTCATGTGACAACCTTGCTGAGGCACAGGTTCTTCATCTATAAAACAAGGCATAATGCCACGTCTGTAGCTGTTAATTATCAGATGAAATAATGCATGTACGAGAACCAGCACAATGTCTATCACAATCAGCACTTAGTGACTTAATGCTTTTGTTACGAGTTACTTCACAGAGGCTACTAGTATGTAGCACTATCAGCTCTTCTGCCAACTGCTCTCCCTCAGAGTACCCAGGCTCACGGTTCACCTCCCGTTCTGCCAGCTACATCCACTGCTCTTACTAACAATCTGCATTTGTCCATCCACATTTTCCCCCTCCCTTATACAAAGAGGTAAACTCCATTAGCACTTTATCTAAAGTAAGAATAAATGGACCTGATTCCAAACTGTGCCATTCCAGGTCCAGTTCATAAACTTTAGAGCATGGTCTCTGACCTCTATTTCAACTGCTCAACAGCATTTTATCTTCTTCAGGGTTTCTAAATAAGTTATTCCACATGCATAAGGTGATAATTAGTATTATGTGAATTATTGCATACAAACTGGGTATTCTTTTGTAGGCTGGAGAACTGTGATTGTTAATGTGTTGCTTTATTCCCTCATGGTACAAAACACAAAGGCTGGTTTTAAATCATTGTAACATTGTTGTAAAAGATAAAACATCTTCATGTCAAAGATTATATTCAATTTACATGAGATAGCTTTAATCCAATTGTATGTCACACAGTCCTTTCAGAAAACTATAGAAGAAAATAATCCACCACCTGTTACAACCTAACAGCAGCCCTGTGCTGGATGTGCCAGGCACTGACTGATGTCTCCTCTTGAGCCAGGTCCTCACTTCACAGCTCATCAAAAAGGTGCCCTGCCCAGAGCAGAGAGAAAGCTGCTCCACTATCTGATTTGCTGACATGATTTTAGGCAAAATAAATTCCATCATTTCCTATAACTCCCAATTCTTTACAGATGTCTACACTTTTATTACTATATGTCTCTAGATCTAAGTTCCAAGAGATACACACTACTTCTCTTCCTCATTTTTAATTCCCATGTGTCCACTCCAGTTCCAAAGAATCAGTAACAGGGAATCACTTGGAAGATACATCCTATACAGCTAATCACTACCAAGGAATTACCCTCTAGGAAAAGCTCACAAACCAAACTAAGGGGATGATCTCAGAATTAACTCTCAATTTTTATCATTGCAAAATCAAAGCACAATGTATGCAAAAAATGAAAGACTAATTTTCTCAACTTTATTTAGCTATAACTAACATAAAATAAACTACACAAGTGCACCTAGGGCTTATAGTTTGTGTCCTGCCCTGAAGGCTCATGTGCAGCAAGCTTGGTCTCCAGTGTGGCCAAGTTGAGGCGGCAGAACCTTCAAGAGGTAGAGGCTAGGAGGACAGGGTCTGCCCTGGAGACAGGATGAATGGTCATCTCACAGGATGCACCCATGTAAGAAATTTCTTGAGGGCAGCTGTTATAAAGACAGCCCACCCTTGGGCTGGGGTTGTGGCTCAGCAGTAGAGTGCCTACCTAGCACCTGCAAGTCTCAAGGCTCGATCCTCAGCACCACATAAAAATAAATAAATAAAGGTATTGTGTCCAGCTACAACTAAAAAACAAATAAGTATTTAGAGAGAGAGAGAGAGAGAGAGAGAGAGAGAGAGAGAGAGAG